TGTGTGTGTGTGTGTGTGTGTGTTGTATCATGTTTCCTCTATAGTACCAAATAATGATAAATGGTTTTCATTTTCATTACAACATCTCTTAAAGAATAGGGTAATTTTTCCTTGAGGTGTTGATTTAGGCTTTTTGGTAAGTATTAAAATGTTTACCAGCCAAAGGTTATGGTCTTTCTGACCTTTCCAGTATATTCTTTATTCTTCAGAACAAATGAAGTCATATATAGATTGAATTGGGTAAAGCAGTTGCTTCTACTCCTTTATTTCTCTTAGGCAACACAGTTGCCAGTCCAAGATAAGTCAGGGCTAAATATGACAAATCACAACATTTAGTTGATCCCCTAAGAGTAATTTTTATTTTTTTCTATACTAAGCATTGAACCCAGGGCCTCTCGAATGCTAGGCCAGTACTCTGCCACTGAACTACATCTTGTCCCTTTTTTTTTTTCCTTATTTTAAGATAACATCCTACTGACCTAAACTTGCGGTCCTCCTGCTTCAGCCTTCTTGAGTAGCTGGGACTACAGGCATGTAACCACCATGATGATAACAGTAATTAGACATTTAATCTTTGTGTGGGACAGTGAGCTAACCATGCTTAAGGTATATTCAAGCCCATATAACCTGTATTCATAACTCAAAATCATAACAAGAAAGCCAAAAAAGTATACTTTCTTTAAAATTTTGAATTCACATTTTTTGGAAAATACGGACGTGTGCATTTTTAAAAAGCAAGCTATTAAAATTTTAATTAAAAAGTTAAATATGAAGTTGGATCAAGGCATTCACCCTAAAAATAAACTGAATTTTGTCAGAAATGATAGTTGATTTTCATGATGTGGTTAAAGGTTTTTTAGTTATCCTAGAAAATTTTACTCAAGTGTAATTTGTGTTAAAGTTACTGATTTCACATTGATCTATGAAAGTACTGATCTGTGTGTTGTGTTTGATACCTTTCTGGAGATACAAACTTACGATCTATTTTTATTGCAGACTAGGTTAAGTCCCACAAAATGGCCACATCATTTTTAAAAGTATATCTTTTTCTAATCTTAAAAATAATTTGAGGGTCTGGGGATGTGGCTCAAGCGGTAGTGCATTCACCTGGCATGCGCAGGGTGCTGGGTTCTATCCTCAGCACCACATACAAATAAAATAAAGATGTTGTGTCCACCGAAAACTAAAAAATAAATATTAAAAATAATAATAATAATAATTTGATTCATGGACCCTAAGCCAGCTATGTTTATAGTTGTGTGATTTTTAAAGAATTTTTCAAAAGATAATATTATATTTGAATTAGGTTTTCAAGTTCAGTGTATTTAATTGAAGTCTTAACTGCTTTCTGTCACATAAACTGGTAAGGGATTTTTAAGAAAAGAAGTTGGGTTTTAGTATCTCTAGGTTAACATAATGATGGTAGAAAGAAGACCCAAAATTAATAAGACTTCACATCAGTTGTTTTCTTGTTCTAACATCTTTTATTTTCACCTGAATCCAGTAAGTTCTTTGGAGGTTAAAGTAATTGAGAATTCTTGAGGTTTGAGAGATAATGAAAATATTTTTGTTGCTTACTTGTCAAAGTTATATTTTATTACATATAATTAATAAAAGTTCCAAAATTATATAATATGCTTCAACCAAAATATTAGATTGGGCCTGACTGGAAAAAAGGTATAATTTTTACAAATACTTTCACTACTATTTAAGGTTCTTGATTTCCTCATTTAAACTATTTATTTTGTTCTTAAAGGGGTTTGTTTTGTTTTGTTTTGTGGTTGTGTGGACAGAATACCTTTACTTATTTTTTGTGTGTTGAGGATTGAACCCAATACCTCACACATGCTAGGCAAATGCTCTGCCACTGAACTACAGTCCCTGCCCTGTTCTTAAAGTTTTTAACCAACTTTTCAAAGTCTCCTCATCCATGTTTTTTCCTGGGAATACATAGTTTTAAAGTAGATGAATGTCTGTTTACTCTGGATAGTTAGGTAATTATTCAGAAAATATGATTACATGATTGTTTATTATTTATTTATTTATTTGGTTTTGGTGCTGAGAATTGAACCTATGCTTGAGAGTGCTAAGTATAAGCCCTGAGTAAATTTACATGTTGTTGAGTTACACCCCAAGCCCAGGATTTATTTATTTAATTTTAAGATTTTTTTATAGTGCTAGAGATATTACTTAAGACTTTGCACATACTAGGCAAGGTCTCCATCACTGAGCTACATACCCAGCCTTTTTTGTTTGAGACAGTTGTCTCACTGTTGCTGGGCTAGTCTTGAATTCTTGGGCTCAAGTGATCCTCCTGCCTCAGCCTTTCAAGAAGTTTATGGCTGTTTAGTCAAGTTTAACTAGCTTTATAACCACCTACTTCTGCACTAAGCAAAATATAACTGAGCCACATAGGTAATTTTAAATTTTCTAGTAGTCACACTTAAATACAAAGAAATATGTGGAATTCATTTTAATAAAATTTACTTAATCCAGTATTTGCCAAATATTTCAGCAGACAATTAATATAAAAAGGTATATTAGTGAGATATTTTGCATTCTGTTTTTCATGCTGAGTCTTCAAAATCTGGTATTTTATAATTCCTGTACATCTTGATTTGGATGCTAATGTTCAGTGGATAGTACTTGATCTGCATTTAGATTTTATATAATTTACAATGGAAATCCTAGACTCACACACCAAGTAGTTCCAGCAGATTTTTTTTTAGTAACTGAAACAAGTGTCAGTTTATAACTTTCTGTTAAAATTAATTAAAGTTAAAATCCACTTTTCAGTTGCAAGTGCTTGATAGCCACATGTAGCTAGTGGCTCCTATTACGGACAGTACAGGCCTATTTCTAGGTTGGGATTCGGTCCTGGCCATAACTAGATTATCTGACCACCAGTCAAGAAAATGAGAAAGTGACAGCTTTGTCAATCCAACCTCCCTTTGTGTCCCAAATATCCAAATATACATTCTGCCTTTTTGGATGAAATCCCTTTTTTTAAAATTTAGTGACTTCTATACCCAAATTCTATGACCTGTACTACTGTTAATTCAGAAACTGGCAAGGGGCAGTTGTGGGGGGGGGGGTGAGAAAAAAACAGAAAAAGCAGGGACCAAGTGAGACACTGTCCTCTGATGGAGAAACAGTGACCCAGAGCTAGCTCAGCATGTAGATTTTATCATCTAGAGGTTATTTGTGGGAAAATTCCAGTAAAACAGATAGACTTGAAGGTCACAGAATTCTCTATACCCTGGAGGTGGTGCCTGAGCTCAAGGTCCAGACTGATATAACTGTGCACCTTTGCATAGAGCCTCCCCAGGCCGGCCATCACCATAGCAACTAGACCCATCTTGACCTGCACATTTGCACAGGAAGTTTCCAGCACAAACAGCCACGAGGCAGGCAGAGACCATGGTTCAAGTCATTACTCTCCACACCCAAATAAAATGGGTACACAAAAATGCTTTTCATAAGTCCCTGAGTATATGACTAGCATAATGTTTCGCAATTCATTTTACACTACATGTATACAACTTTTTAAAAATTGTTATAACAAGTATAGAAATATAGCATGCATTTCTTAGAAAAGAGAATGTGTTTGGAGGCCACTGAAACACATCCGGCTTTGAAATGAATCTTTGATTTTCTCTTAAGAGAGTTAGTGTTGGAAAGACTCAAGTGCTTACAATGGAAACAAAATTATTCTTGTGCTTGCCTGATGTTTCTCAAAACTTGTTTCTACTTCTACTCCATATATTTTCCACTAATGATTCTTGTGTTGATGTGACCAACAGGTTAAATGATGCTGAGGGATTAAGGGAGATTTACATTATAGCTGCTTACATATGGTATTTATGAATTGGAAAAGTATCTGCTACATGTGGAGTCCTTACTACAGGCCAGGAGTGAAGCCAGGTGTGTTAGGTCTAGATCCTATCTTAGTGTTTCTCAAACCTTTTCCATTTTATGACACACAACATTTTTAAGGCACCTTGTGGTTTGAAGACTCCAGTCCTCTCTGGCCATGACTGACGACGTATTAGTTTCCTAGGGCTGCTATAACAAGTACCACAGACTGAGTAGTGTCAACAATAATTTATATTCTTACAATTCTGTAGTTCAGAAATTTGAGATTAAGGTGTCATCAGGGTTGGTTTCTGTAAGGACTGATGTCCTTGAAAAGGAAAAAATTTGGACACAGGCAGAAGGATGACTATGTGAAGACATCACATGTCTGTTGGATCAGCCCATCCTGATGACCCCATTTGTGACTTAACCTCTGTAAAGGCCCCATCCAAGTATAGTACACTCTGAGGTTCTAGGATTAGAGCTTCAGCATGAATTTTGGGCAGATGAAGGCAGAGACATAATTTGGACCTTACACCAGGTATCTGGGATAAGAAAGGGAGCCATGACTAGGACACACCTATGACCCCTTAAAGCAGGTCTTAATCTTCATGCCATCCATGTGAAGTAAGTAATATTGTTATTGTTATGCCCATTTTACAGATGACAACATTGAGGCCCAAAGAGATGATGTCTGTTGCCCAAGGTCATATAGTAAGTGGTAAAGCCAGGACTGAGGCACAAGCCTGGCTGTTCCCACGACCCTGCTTCATCAGATGGGTTTAAACTAAAAGTGAGGGTCTGTGTCTAAAATTTTATCATGCAGTTAAACTTAGCTAAAACATGAAAATTACAGTCAATGGATCAACTACCATTTTAATAATAATCACATTAATATTTCAATACTATTGACTTAATAAAAATTTACCAAGTGAGTGAAAGTTACTACCAAGGTGAAAATGTCTTATCTAACATGAACCACTATAAGTGAGCCCTTCTTTCAAAGTCTTAGGAAATTTTAAGTTTAGGACAGATTTGTAAAGTATTAAGGTAGATTTTTATTCTATTTCCAAACTTAAGCCCAAATCCTTATGAACTGAAAACACTTTGTCTTTCTTTTGAAAATAGGAATGAAGGAATGACCTCTAAAATATCCCTCTTGCCTGCCCTTGGTACATGGCAGTATAGAGGCATGACCTCTAAAGAAGCTGGGATATCATTGTGATAATTAATCTTGCTTCAGGTTGTTTATACATAATTAAGCAGCAAAGGTTAACTATAATATTCATGTCCTTCTCCCTGGAAAGTTACATTAAGAAAACATTCAGTCATTTTAAACATAAAATGTAGGAACTTCACCACATGTAGGTAACCTTTAGTAAGGAATCTTAACTTTTTAAAAGTTTTCTGAAAAGCGATACTATATTATATGTGAAATGTGGAAGAGGGAAAAATTGGAGCAGGAATCAGAAGCAGTGAGATTCTTGGATCCTGTATTTATTATTTATTTTGAATTCTTAATATCCATAATAAAACATTTTGAGTAAAAATTTGTTCATGATTTCCAAAAGAGTAGTTTGACTTGTTATAGTTAATTCATATTATTATTACCCTTGTTAAATGAAAAACTGAAGTTCCTTAGGCTTAATTAGAGTTAAAACTTTATTTTTTTAAATCCACCTCAGAATTTTCATGTGATTAAGTCGTTTCTGGACAGATGTTTCCTTTATTCTTTGTGTTTGAAGGGTGAGAGCAGTCTCCTAACAAAACATGCAAATATTTAAACTGACCCTCAACCTGTCTTTTGACTCTTTGTAGCCTCTAAAGATAAGGTCCCTTGTGTTATCTTTGAGTCTATTAAATCATATTTTGTTTTTGAAAAAAGACATTGAGTAAAAAGCAGCATTCAGGATACAGGATAAGGTTAAAGGGAAGTGAAGGACCCAAATTTGTAGTTCATCCATTCTAAGCTAAGAGAGAAAGCTGGGAGTCACTGAGTCACTCTTGATAGTCCTCCCTCATCCCCCACCATAAATCCATCATCATCCAATTCTGTCAGTTTTCCCTCAAAAGTTTTGAATCCATCCCCTGCTCCTGTCCTYATTGTACACCATGTTTCTTGCCTGCACTCCGTCCTCCCAAGGATCCTTACTGATCCTTTCTTCCTATGTCTCCCAGCCCCTACTCTACTGGAGTTGGTGGTCCATTGGAACTCACCTTTGTCCCCTTAGCATCAAACAGGATTCCTTGCCAAAGGAATGGGTATTCATTATTAAGGCAAACACTTCTTGACCCTGCTCTGCTTAAAATCCTTCTGTGGTTTCTCATTGCATCTAGAATAAAATCCCCAACCCAGCTTCCCCTTGGGCCCCTCTTGCTCATTCTCACTTCCAGCAAACTCGCTTCCTAGCTATTGCCCAACACATACCCATCTCTCTCTTGCCTCAGGGTTTTGGGGCAAGTGGTTTCTCAGTCTTGAAAGTTTTCTCCCCTTGCTGTCTGACTCATGACTCCTCTCAGAATTAGAGGAGGCCTCTCTTACCCTCTAATCTTAATCAAGCCACCGTATCATAATCTTTCATGGCACAGTCTACACTTTGAATTCAGTTTGTAATTATTTTTACATCAGGAACTGTGTTTCTTCAAGCTCATACTGCTCTTGAACAAGGACCATTGGTTTGGTTGGAGGCACTGACCTGCAGGTACAAGGCTATATTATAAAGTGGATTAGACATGTCATCTGCAGTGCTAGGAATCTAGTTCTGACTCAGCCCAGGACATAAGAGGTTGGGAGGTGGTGGCATTGTGGGAAGACAGAACATGGTGTGAGACAAAGGAAAGGGATTTTTGTTAGTCAGCTTTTCATCGTTGGAACCAAAATCCCTGACATGAGCAACTTAAAGGAGGGAAGATTTATTTTGGCTCTTGATTTCATGATTGCCTATCCTTTGCTTTGGCCTTGAGGTAAGTGGGCATGGCAGCCAGGAAGCAGAAGGGAGAAGAAAAATCCTTCCAGGGCATCACCTTGCTCCTCACCCCCCCCCCAACTCCCCACACACATACTCTTCCTTCCTCGTACTAGTTCCTGCTTCCCAGGAGTTTATTCAACCATCATTAGATGAGTCCACTGATAAGGTCAGAGTCCTCACAATCCAATCAAAAGCCTACCTCTGAACACATAATACTTTGGGGGGGACATTTCAGATCCAAATCATCAGAAATCCTTTTTTTGTTGTTTTTTTACACTGATACATTATAATTACACATAATAGTGGGTTTTGTTACATATTTGTGCACATAATTTGGTCAATTGGGATCCTATTATGACTCAGGCTTTTAATGTAGGACACTGCTGGCATAATTATTTGCAAAAAAGAAAAAAAATCAGAATGGGATTCTCTTGAAATCCACATCATATTTAAGCTACTTACTTGATCCACTATGAACTGGCCATTGTGATTGTGCCAGTGTTTTTTCTATACAAACACAATGTGGATCATGACTGCAACGAGACTTTAAAGAGGGAAATGCACTCTTTTTTTTTTATCTTTTTTCTTTTGAAGAAGTACTGAAAGTAGACCTTGATTTGTTTCTAGTCTACATTTCATAGGGCCAGCAACATTGAATAATAGACTTTCAGAATTGAAATAGTTGAGGAGGTTGAGTCATTAAAGTGCCTCCATTTTGAGATAAGAAGACTGAAATGTGGTTGTTGTCTTTTTCACACTAGGCCTAGTGTGAAGCAAAGCTGGAATCTGACCAGACCTTCTAGATTCCTGACTAGTGTGTTCCCTGTGGCTATATGCTCCAGTGTATGGTATGTCTTTAATTAGCATAAGGAAAAACTCCAAATCAGCAGGATTTTTGGCACCGATGAACACACTATTGTTCTGTGATCTTGTTAAAACAAATTTTACTATTTGTTCAGAGAGCCATATAACCCTGGTTGGCTGTAACTGAAAGTCACTGAGTCAAGTCAGACCCTATTGGGCCTTTGTAAACAAACAGTTGAAGAAGCTAGCTGCCATTTGCTAATAAAAGTAAAACAAGATCCTTCTAAAAGCTTGGTAACTCACAGTAGGCTTTAGAGTACTTCTATGCTATGTATTTAAATGTGGGTGTGTCTGATATTCTGTAAATTCATTTTAAGCCAAATGATGTGTCACACTCAAGAGCTAGAATGGGCCCAGTTGGGAGGCTGCCCTAGTTTCCAGAGTGACCAAGCTGAATTGGCTAGCCTCTCCTGGCAGGCATTTCCTCCTGCTTCCCTCCAGGGCTTCAGCTGGGAACAATAAGGTGTTAGGTCTTTCTGGATCTGAGGGTCTCCCATCTAAATGCAAAGTGTGAATAAACAGAGCCATATAGCCTCTAGTTCTTTCTGGTCCCTGGATCTCAAGGAGAGGGATTTTGCCATTTATTTCTGTTACGTTAGAGTTTCCAGTGTAGCAGAGTCACTTCCTCTTATATGTCAATCTTTGATTTGTCACGTGTCAACACTGATGATGTGGAGCCCAGAAAGACCTAGATATCAGCTCTGCTGCTTGCTGTGTAACTTGTGCAGGTTATGGAACCTCTGTGACCTTCAGTTCTTTTTAATAAAATGGGACTGTTGTGAACACTGAGATTAAGGTAATATTCATAGAATGACATTCAATAAATGAGAATTGATGTATTAAGTAGCTGGATGGTTTTGGACAAGACCCTTTACTTTGGGTGCTGTTGCCTCACGAGAGAGCCCACTGTTTTTTGCACTGAAAGTTTCTAAAGCATTCTTGAGCGCTGGAGATCTAGCCTCTTTCCCATACACCCCTTCCACTGCTTTTCCCCCAACTCCCGATACACACACCCAAGCCCCCCTTGATTCCCTTACTGCCCATTCGGAAGCTGCAGATAGTTCCCAGGAAATTCAATTTGTGCTCTTTGCCTCTGGTCCGGGCCTAAGGAGCAGACTTGTCGCAGGGGAAGTGTATCCCCAAATTAGATCATCTTCTGGTGGGAAAGGTAAAGAAAATGCAGACGTCCTGGTGCCACTCTGAAACTGCCAGCTTCAACAAACTTATTGCAGAGGTGGAGCACCCTCTCGGACAGGGCTTGGCAGAATCGGTGCCGCAGGGGAGCGGGTGGTTCTTGCCTTGCCGGGGTGGAAGGGAGGCCAGGACTGCCGGCCGTGATCTGGCCGGACTGGCCCCAGGTCCTGGAGCAAAACTGGAGTTTGCAGAGCCACGCCCTTGGGCGCCACCCTGCAGACGTGGGCGGGCCCGGGGCCGTCCCGAGTAGGGGGACTGCGGGGCCGGCTAGATGCTAATGAGGAGCCGATAAAGCCTCGGCGGGGCGCTGTGCCGCGTGCTGCAGTGGGCTCTGCGCTGGACTCCGGGGTCCGGGGCGCGCGGCATCCCGCGTTCGCCCTCCGCGCTTCTTCCGCCCCTTTCCTTAATCCAGGCCCCGGGGCACCAGCGGGCAGGAAGCGGCCCCTCTGGGCTCGAGAGCCTCTGGGTAAGTTGGTCAGCGGCGCCAGCGGAGCGCCTGGCTGCCAGAGGTAGGGGTGGGGGGAGCGCTTCCGGCGAAATGCTGCCCCGGGCGCTGGGGAACCACGCCTGACTGGTCGGCGAGTCCCCCAGCCACGCCCGCCCTACTCAGTCCCTCTCCAGACAACTGTCCAGAGCCTCGGTGAACCTTCACCCCTGCCGCCTGTGGTCCAGCTCTCCATCCCTTAAGGCTGTTCCACCTCTCCCACATCCTTTGTCCTGGCGTTTCCATTCTGGGTCTCTCTTTCTTCCCCTTCGCGGAGGACCTCCTCCCTGCTATCCCCACCCCCAAGAGGGATCTTTGTCCTTTCTGAGGTCCTGTCTACCTTCGTTCGGGTGACTGTGGTGAGCGACTTTAGTCTCTTCCTGCCTTGGGTAGCATCGGAGAGACAGCCGGGAGTGGGACGGGGAACCTGCCCCACTGCTGCACGCAGTCCCCACTCCCTGCAAAGTCCTCTGTGAGCAATCCGTGCCCCACACCCTCTGGTCCTTTTCTGCCTCTGCGTGAGAAAGCCCCTCCAACCTCCACAAGCTGCGTGTGGGCCGGGACGAGGGAGGGGGTACAAAGGGAGGCCTTGTCTCTGGAGATTCCTGGGAAAGCACAATGGGGCAGGGTGTCCATTGGGCTGAGAGGAACCTGGGAGAGGCCAATGTGGCAGCCGTTACTGAAGCTGCGACAAGACCAAGATCAGAGGGGGAAGTGTTTTGACCACAGTGAGTCAGAAATGGGTGTCTGTCACATAGTCAGTAGCAATATCCTCCAGCTGTTTGTGGAGGTAGTTTTGGTGGTGGGAAGTGGAACCTAAGCAGGCAGAGGCTCTCTCTCCTGTCAGGAGGCAAGCAACTGTGCTGTGGAGGAAAACTTTGCCCTGGGCGGGAGACATATTCCACACCCAGCGTATGGCTGAGGCTGAGATGGGACAGTATGGGTCAAACAGCTGTGGTTGCCTATTAGGTCTGTCTCTGTCTACAGGAAGGGGAGAACCTTCTTCCTGATAGCCTGCTGTCTCCAAATCTGAGAAGTTCCCCCACACCCCGTTTCCAGGGCCTGGGGAAAGCAGGCCAAGTTTCTGGTCCCAGGACTCCCAGGGATCCTGAATGCTTCAAGATCCCAGGACACAGAGACAGCTGGAGTCTGTATGGCTTCCCTGTGCCCTCTGTACCCAAGACTGCTGATTTTTCATTTCCAAATTTGGCAAATTTCACTTGGAGTGAAGGATAGCCACTGTCTCTGGAGCAGATCCTGGCAAGGAAGTTGGCTGGGAAGTGCAGAGCCAGTCAGGGGTGGACCCTTGGCTCCCTGTGGACACCAATCTGCTCTTTCCTCCTCCTCTTCCTTTTCCCTTCCTCCCTTCTCCAGCCTCCCCCCTTCTCTTCCCTCTTTTTCTCCAGCAGCCACTCAGCTCTGCTCAGCTTCTTCCCTCCTCAGGGGCCCCACTGGGATTCTATGGCTTCACCTACCTCCACCAACCCAGCACATGGCCACTTTGAGAGCTTCCTACAGGCCCAGTTTTGCAAGGATGTGCTGAGCAGCTTTCAGGGGCTCTGTGAGGCCCTGGGGCTAGAGCCTGGTGGGGGACTACCCCAGTACCACAAGATCAAAGCCCAGCTCAACTACTGGAGTGCCAAGTCTCTGTGGGCTAAGTTGGACAAGCGAGCAGGTCAGCCTGTCTACCAACAGGGCCAGGCTTGTGCCAGCACCAAGGTGAATATATGGAGGAGGGGCAGAGTGGAGAATGGGGGGGCAGTCAGAACAGAAAGGTCAGATGCCAAGCCTACCCTCCCCTGTGTGTTGGCAGTGTCTGGTGGTAGGTGCTGGGCCTTGCGGGCTTCGGGCTGCTGTGGAGCTGGCACTACTGGGAGCCCGTGTGGTGCTGGTTGAAAAGCGCACAAAGTTCTCTCGCCACAATGTGCTCCACCTCTGGCCCTTCACCATCCATGACCTGCGGGCACTTGGTGCCAAGAAGTTCTATGGGCGCTTCTGCACTGGCACCCTGGACCACATCAGTGAGTATGATATAGCGTGGCCTGGAGGGGTGGGTGCACCTGGGCCTAGAGACAGGCCAGTTTGGTTGGGGGACGGGGTGCCACTGAGCCAGCAGCAGAGAGGCAGAGTGCACAGGATCCATTTCAGCCAGGTGACCTTGAAGACCTAGGTTATTCATCTGTAAAATGGAAAACTGGATGGAATGATTTCTAAGATCATTCTTCAGTTCTGACTAAGCACACACCAGTGCTCCGGGAGACTGAGCAGCCCTGAGTCCCTATACCTGATGTCCTCTCCCTTTCAGGCATCCGGCAACTTCAGCTGCTTCTACTAAAGGTGGCATTACTGCTGGGGGTGGAAATTCACTGGGGTGTCACTTTCTCTGGCCTCCAGCCCCCTTCTAGAAAGGGTGAGTACTTCTGTGCTTCCAGAACTCCCACCAAGGAGATCTTGGCCAGTGCATGAGAAAGGGTGGGGCTGGGAGTCAGCTGAGTCTTAAATGGTGAGGCCTGGGCAGACTTCTCAGCCTCAGCTACATTTGCAAAATGGGAACAGCGTTTCCTACCTACCTTCCTTGGCTGCTACAAAGATGTTATATGAGAGACAGTGTGTCACTGGTGCTTTCTAAACCTTGGAGTCCCTTACACATTTATTTCAGCTATTTCACTAGCTTAATAGCAGGAGCCCCTTCTGGCTGCCTTGTGCTTCTCATACACTCTGCCCTAGGGAGTGGCTGGCGTGCCCAGCTCCAGCCCAGTTCCCCAGCCCAACTGGCCAACTATGAATTTGATGTCCTCATCTCAGCTGCAGGAGGTAAATTCGTCCCTGAAGGTGAGTGCTTCCTTCCCTCAGAATAGCCAGCATCTTTGGACTCCTCCTGAGTCTTTCTAGCAGTTATACTCCTGGTCCTCTTGCCATACCAGCCTACCCTTACTGCTAGGCTTCACTGTTCGAGAAATGCGTGGCAAACTGGCTATTGGCATCACAGCCAACTTTGTGAATGGGCGCACAGTGGAGGAGACACAGGTGCCTGAGATCAGCGGTGTGGCCCGAATCTACAATCAGAAATTCTTCCAGAGCCTGCTCAAAGCCACCGGTAAGGGCCCCCTTTCATTGTCTTTCTTTCCCCTTGCCTGACTGGGCCGCCTCCTGCCCTCTCCCTCTCAGACCTGTCCTTCGTCCAAGGAAGCCCACACTTGTCCATCTTTGTGATACAGGTATCAAAAGGGGAAAGAACTGCCCCCACAGGGCCTAAGCAGCCATAGCCCCACTTGGCCATCCAGCATGAAAAGTCTTGGAAATTTCTTACAAAATGCCTAAGTTTTATTTGTGCTCCATTATGCCTTAGTATAAAAATGATATAAATTGAAAACAGAAGTGGCACTTGAAGAGGATGCCTATATTTACTTTGGCTTTATACCACCATGTGGCCATGTAATGCAGGTTTCCCATCTGCTGCCCCACCCTAGTTTCCTTCTTTGTCCCAAGCTGTCAGGCCCTCTGAGCCAGGGACAGATGATCCTTTGTGCCACCAGGACTGTTTGGGCTCTTCGTGGAGCATTCACTACATCTAAACTGTGAGCCCAACTCTCAGAGATTAGCGATGTTTGAGGTGTTTGGAGAGGTATCAGATCATCAGACGAGGACTCATCTCCTGCCCCTGCCCTGTCTCCCCAGGCATTGATCTGGAGAACATTGTGTACTACAAGGATGACACCCACTACTTTGTGATGACAGCCAAGAAGCAGTGTTTGTTGCGACTGGGGGTGCTGCGTCAGGTGCGGCCCTGGGAGACTGAGGCCAGGGCTGGACACAGTCTACCCCTGGGTGTGGAGGTTCCCCATCCTCTCCTGCCTCTTCTCAGCATTAACTCTACCTCCACAAGCTCTGCTCCCCTAGGATTTATATGGCAACAGGAATCATATTCAGACAGGACTAAACTTTATGCCAGTTGTAAACCTTACACCAGCCATACTGTGACAAATGTGAGCTCCACGAGGACAGGGATTTTTGTCTCTTTGCTTCTTGCTTGCTGCTAATTTTCAGTGCTTAGAATGGTGTCTACCATGTGCTAAGTACTGTGTTGAGAGCTTAATTTGCATTTTCTCATCTAATTTTCATGAGTACCTTGTAAGTTAAGTATGTTGTTTCTAAAAGATGGGCTAACAGGCTCTGACAAGTTAAGGGCAAATGAAATGACAGTAATGATATCGGGCTACATGAACAGAGCAGGGCCGAGGACCCCTGAGGCGGGATGAGTGACAGAAGGCAGGCATTGGAATTCTATGCTACCTTTTCAGCTATTATGTGGTCTGGGCAGCCCCTTCCTTCTCAAGGGGACAGGGCTGGCCAAATGACCCATCTCTCAGAGATCTCAGAGGTTCTTATCTGTTGTTCATGTAGGACTTGCCAGAGACTGATCAGCTTTTGGGTAGTGCCAATGTGGTACCCRAGGCTCTGCAGCACTTTGCCCGGGCAGCTGCTGACTTCGCCACACATGGCAAACTCGGGAAACTAGAGTTTGCCCAGGATGCCCATGGGCGGCCTGATGTCTCTGCCTTTGACTTTACAAGCATGTTGCGGGCAGAGAGTTCTGCTCGTGTGCAGGAGAAGCACGGTGCCCGCCTGCTACTGGGACTGGTGGGGGACTGCCTGGTGGAGGTGAGGACTCCAGAGGCATAGGGATCCCAGGTTGGGTGGGGAGCCTGCCTGATAGGAAGGGAGATGGTAAAAAGAGCTTGTTGAAGGGAGGGGCTAATGGCACAGTGGGTGAAAGCTCCCTCCCCCACTTTGACCTTGGGGCATATCTGGGCTTGGGATGCTCCCACGGAATTCTCCTTGAGCTGTTTCCTGTTCCTCTGACCTGCAGCCCTTCTGGCCCCTGGGCACTGGAGTGGCCCGGGGCTTCTTGGCAGCCTTCGATGCAGCCTGGATGGTGAAGCGGTGGGCAGAGGGTGCTGAGCCCCTAGAGGTGTTGGCTGAGCGGTGAGGCCTGAGTTGGGAAAGTAGTGAAGGCAGGGTGGAATATAAGATAAGGTCAGAAAAAGGGGTAGGGGGCACTGAGGGAACAATTGAGGGTATGGGCAGAAGGGAATGCAAGAATGGTTGGCAGTTCTTGAGACTTGGATGCTGACAGATGCCCTCCCCTTCATGCTCCTGCCCCTCCCACCACTCTCACACCCTCAGTGAGAGCCTGTACCAGCTTTTGTCACAGACATCCCCGGAAAACATGCACCGCAATGTGGCCCAATATGGGCTGGACCCAGCCACCCGTTACCCCAACCTGAACCTCCGGGCTGTGATGCCCAACCAGGTCAGATCCCCCAGCACCCCCACCAAACTTCCCAAGTCAGCTTTCTTCTCCCAGGCCAGGCCTTTCCTATCCAGTCATTGTCTCTGGGGGTCTGTCCTACCTCAAGTGGGTCCCTCCCTCATGGGCTGAGGGGCTGTGTGGTCAGCTGCCTTGATACCTGAGGGGGGCTGCCTTAGGTACGAGACCTGTACGATGTGGTGACCAAGGAGCCTGTGCGGAAAAGTGACAAGACAGATGCAGGGAATCCAGCCATGGGTGAGCAGGCCATTTTCCTGGGGAATGTCCAGAATATGTCCCAGCTAGTGTGGTGCAGCAGCAACCTGAGCGCTGCAGCCTCAGGACCAATGAGTGAGATGTGCTGGGATACTCACTGTTTGGTGGGGCAGTTTGGGGCCTCTGAAGAATTAGAGGGGCAGCAGAGCTCTGAGAAACCATTGTTTGCCAGCTGTCTGGAAGTATTTAGGTATATTATCAAGCTGTACTACACTGCTCTTGGCTCTTCTGCCAGCCCCTCCCAGCCTTGCAAACCCCAAAAAACCTTTACTGAGCCTCTGAGCTTCCCTACCCACTCAGCTTGCAGATCTCTGCCCTCTACGTGGCCAGCAGTGATTTCACTTTATTCATCTCCCACTTTATTCCAATAAGGAATGGGAAGGAAGTGCTGCTGGCAGTGAGTGTTAGGCTGGTGGTGCCCCAGGATGGGTGAGGGAGTCCCTGACTCTAGCTCCTATACAGATTGCCACACTCAGTAACTGGGCTATGCACCAGGTGTAGGGCAGAGGGGGCCTTGAGCACAACATAGTTTTCCCTTCCAGGGTCAGCGGGCACCCAGGAGGACCTGCTACGCTGGTGCCAGGAGCAGACAGCTGGGTATCCAGGAGTCCATGTTACTGACTTGTCTTCCTCCTGGACGGATGGTCTAGCTCTGTGTGCCTTGGTGCACCGGCTGCGGCCTAGCCTGCTGTGAGTTGGGAATTGGCATGCCTCTGCCCCTCTCTCTGCCTCTTGGTAGGGAGATCATCATGTGGGAGTTAGTAGCTGAGTCCCAGTTCCACTCCTACACATATACACCCCGCTGTCCATACCCTGCCTCCCTGGAGATAGTATTCCTACCTGACCTGCCTCCCTGCCTGACACAGAACCAAATGTATTAGGTAGAGGTGGGTTTTCAGTGGTAGAGGAGGCCCCCAAGGCCAAAAATGGTTGTCACTGTTGKTGGGAAAGGTAGGTGAGGGAGGAAGTAGAGAGAACCACCTTATGTGCCCTCATCTCCCTTATGGATCCCCTGCCCATCCTGCTGGCCTTAACTCCTCATCCCTCTCCCCCATCAGTGGAACCAGGTTCTTTCCTCCCATTGGCTTCTCTCTTTGACATCCCACAGGGAACCTGAGGAGCTGCAAGGGGTGGGGGCTCTGGAAGCAACTACCTGGGCACTGCACGCAGCAGAGCATGAGCTAGGCATCACACCAGTGTTGTCTGCACAGGCAGTGGTGGCAGACAGTGACCCACTAGGCCTCATTGCCTACCTTAGCCACTTCCACAGTGCCTTCAAGAGCATGTCCCACAATCCAGGTGAGCTGGAGGGTAGATGGTGTCAGGGAATGTGAAAGGGAGAGAGGAGGGGGTGACCTCTGAGGATCCACCTGGGTGGGAGAGTGACTATTTGGAGGTGCAGTATCGACTCCTCATCTACCCTGACACCCAAACTCTGCCTGCAGGTCCTATTGGCCAAGTCTCTCCAGGTACCTCTAGTGCTGTACTATTCCTTGGCAAACTCCAGAGAACCCTGCAACGGACCCGGGCTAAGGTGGAAAACCTGGAGCAGGGTTGGAGCTGGGCTGGGGGTGTCTAGTGAGATCCCTGGGATAATGGAGAGGATGATATTCAGAATGGGAGAAGGGGAGACCTGGGACTAAGGCCTCGTGTTTATAGCTACAGGATTTGTTGCAGGAAAATGGGGAAGATTCTGGTGGCAAGAAGCCTCGCTTGGAGGTAAATGTAAGCAGGGGCGGGATGGTTCCCTTCCCCATATCCTATTTCCCTTCCCTGACCTGTTCCTCCAGGTCTTGCCTTCCACCCCAGGTCCTGTAGCCCCCCCGCCCATCCTGTCTCCCTGCCTAGACTCAGTCCCTTCCCTTCCAGCCCTTTCTCTTTCCATGCACACATCCCCTCCCCACCTGATCCTGTCTGAGCACTTAACTCCTTAGGTAGAGGCTGAGATGCCAAGTACTGAGGAGCTACCTGTCCCTGAACCCAGTGTACCTCTGACACCCCCATCTCAACCTGAGGAGGTAAGAGCCAGGGTGGTGTCTACAGGCAGAGGCGTGGGGAGGGCAGGGAAGGAGTGTTGCAGGGAAAGGGAAGAACTTTGTAGCTAAGCCTTGGCTCCAGCTGACTTGTRTCCTGGGGAATCTTTGCAGGCCAGTGCTGGGGACCTGTGTGCACTCTGTGGGAAACACCTCTACATTCTGGAACGCTTCTGTGTGGATGGCCATTTCTTCCACCGGAGCTGCTTCTGCTGCCATACTTGTGAGGCCACATTGTGGCCAGGTGACTACRGGCAGCATCCAGAAGATGGTGAGTGGGCCTGGGAGACTGCTAGAAGGACTTTGAGCCTGATGGGGTTGGGGGTGGGTCTGCAGGGGAAGGAGCTTGAGGATGGAGAGGAAAACAGATGGTGGGCAGGAAGTGGAAATAGACTCAACATGGCACTTTCTTCCTCTGAGCTTGGAGACTTCTGTCCTCTCCAAAGCTCCAGATATGGGGTTCTAAGGAATCAGGAAGCTGGCAGAATGGTACCTGCAACTCCTGTAGCCTCTACCTCCCCTGATAAATTTTTGAACATCTGGGCACTGAGCTCTCTATTCCTGATGCCTCTACTCTTTTCAGGACATTTCTACTGTCTCCAGCATCTGCCCCAGCCAGGCCACAAGGAGGATGAGAGTGAAACAGGACCTGAGAACCCTGTAAAAACTGTGAGTGTGGGTAAAGGGGGTGTCTCAGCCCAAAACTCTGCTGGGGGTTAAGTGAATGCTGTGCTCCACTGGACTGTAAGCTCCTCGAAAGCAGGAATGTTTGTCTGGTTGTATTTAGTGTTGTATTCCAGTATCCAGAGCACTACCAGACAATGTCTACTGGATGGTGTTAAGTAAATGCCAGGGCACACATTGGCTCAAAAGGAGTGGTTTCAACCTCTACACTATACAGATTCCTAACCAGATCACATGGTGGCTTTTCCAGGAGCTTCCCACACCAAGTGAGGACAACCTGCCAGGCCCGTTGACTCACACAACCCCACAGGAGGACGCCAGTCCTGTCCCGAGCCCCATCCAGTCTAACCGCCGGCTGATCCGCCTCTCCAGCCTGGAACGCCAGCGGCTCTCCTCTCTTAACATTAACCCTGAACCTGAAACAGAGCCTCCTCCCAAGCCCCCCCGCAGCTTGGCCCGCCAGGCTCTGGAAGGCAGCTTTATGGGCTGGGGTATGCCAGGCCAGAGTCAGCAAGGTGACTGACTGCTCATTCCACAATTGTGGCAACCTGGGGTGTGGATGGGTTAGGAGTACTGGGATTCCTACAAGGGGATTCTAGGGAATATAAGGGAGGTCATGAGGGTACTAAGCCATGTCTCCCTCTCATCTGCTCAGTTCTTAAGGACATAGAGAAGGAGGAAGAGAGTCCTTCCTCCAGTGAAGAGGAAGAGGAAGATGTGCCTTTGGACTCAGACTTGAAGCAGGTGACTGGCAGGAACTTGGCCACCCACTCTGTCCAAGCCAGCATACAGCCACTAATACTCTCCACTCTCACCACAGGAGAAACTACAGCCGCTTCATCCTCTTGGAATGTCCTCTCACCTAGTCTGACATTTATGCCTCTAGGTCTCCATCTTGTCTAGCAGAACTAAGCCCACTTCCAGCCTCTTTTCTCCCCTTCCCAGTTTTACGCACTCCTACCCCTGACTGGCCCAACTCTCCCACAGGCCCTGCTGACACTGGCCAAGAACTCGGACACCATGAACAAGTACCCTACATGGCGCCGGACTCTGCTGCGCCGGGCTAAGGAGGAGGAGATGAAGAGATTCTGCAAGGCCCAGGTGAGGCCTAGGGGTTCCTAGAAGTTCTCACAGGGGTCACAGTTCTGTGTTTGGATCAGAGCTCCTCCAGCACTGTTGTTGAGTAATCTTGTATCCTCTCAGACAATCCAGCGGCGACTAAATGAGATTGAGGCTGCCCTGAGGGAGCTGGAAGCTGAAGGCGTAGAGCTGGAGCTTGCCTTAAGGAGCCAGAGCAGTGAGTGAAGCTAGGATGCCACTCTGTCTCCTAGAACTTTGTTTAGTCCCCAGCTGAACCCCAGAACCACCAGGCTCTGGTCCAGTCACACAGCTCTATACACACCAATGCCCTTTTTTCTTGTCACCTCCCAAGCCCCTGACTCCTGTTTTCCTAGCTAGAGGCCTTGTGACCATCCCAACCCTTCTTCCTTCTTCCTAGGTTCCCCAGAACAGCAAAAGAAACTCTGGTTAGAACAGCTGCTGCATCTTGTCCAAAAGAAAAACAGCCTAGTGGCTGAAGAGGCTGAGCTCATGATCACGTAAGGCGCACTGATAGTGACATTGGCACAGAGCTAAGCCCAGTCCTGTGGGCACCCTGTATAGCTGTGCCTCTTCAATCCCTGACCCCCACAGGGTGCAGGAGCTGGACCTAGAAGAGAAGCAGTGGCAGCTAGACCAGGAGCTAAGAGGCTATATGAACCGTGAAGGTACGTGGGACCCCTCATGAACTTGGATCAGGCAACTCCTCATGTATCTCTGCAACAATCAGGAGAAAGTCAAGAGATGGGACTTGGAAGCCCCCACACTCTTGAACAATCAGGGCTGCACAGCTGGGTTTTTATACAAAATTTCCTTCAAAAACAGTGCTGCTGAGCTGGGGTTATAACTCAGTGGAAGAGCACTTGCCTAGCATGTATGAGGCACTGAGTTCAATTCTCAGCACCACATACAAATAAATAAAATAAAGGTCCATCATTCAAAAATATCTTTTAAAAAACGGTGCTGCTGCTACTAATACTAGAAAACCACTGGTGTGGAGTAACCTCATTTTGCAGGCTAAGAAGCAAAGCTGAGTTGTAGAAATCACACAGGCTAATTCCTTGTTCTCTAAGTTTCACCTTCTCTTTCAGAAACCCTGAAGACAGCAGCAGATCGGCAGGCTGAGGAGCAGGTCCTGAAAAAGCTAGTAGATGTGGTGAACCAGCGGGATGCCCTCATCCGCTTTCAGGAGGAACGCAGGCTCAGTGAGCTGGCATCAGAGACAGGGGCCCAGGGCTAGAAGATGGAGGGCTACCTACCTTCTTCTCTACAAGGAAGACAACCTCATCCCAGGACAGTGCCACCCCTGCTCATCTAGGCTGTTTGGGAGAGGCCTCACTGTTGACAATAAAAATATTTCTGCTACAGACAGGGTTTGGATACATGCTGATGGGAGCAGGGGAGGTGTGCAGGCAGGGAAGATGTGTCAGAGCCCTAATGTCTACATTGTGACAATCAAACTGATCCTAGGTTCTCATCAATGCCTCTACAAGGAAAAAGGCAGAGCCACTAAAATGTCAAGCTTTATTGATTCTCAGTTCTGTCCCCTCTCTTGCCCCAGGAGCAGAGCTAACTGAGGCTCTGAGCTCAGGTCCTGGGCTTCCCTTTCCCTTCCAAGCACATGCTGGAGTTCAGTCTGGACCCTACACAAGCCTCTGGCCTCCTGCGTGTGGAAGAGGTAGACTGCGCCTGCCCCCAGCACCAGTCCTACATTGGGCGTCCAAAGCAGTATGGCCACTTCCCTGGCCCTTTCTTCTGCTACAAGGAAACAAAGCAACACCAGGAGAAGCAGCCCCACACCAATCACATTGCCAGCGAAGGCAGCCCACCAACGAGCCTGGGCTATACCCAGCCCCAGCTCTGTCCAGGCCTCCCTCAGCACACTGATCAACGGCAACCTCCCTGCTGGTCCTAGAACAAAGCAGGGCAGTGGAGTGAGAAAAGGTCAGAGTGGAGGGGCTGCCTTGAGACAGTGAAGAGCCAAGGGAAAGAGTAGGGTGACTCACCATAGGTAAAGCTGGGATTTTGCTGGAGGGGACTATGTCTCACACAGAGAGTAGCCATGAGGGCCTCATGATCAGAGAGGGGGGTGCCATTGTAGGGGCCATGGCCTGCAGTGGATTTGAGACTCTTACAGGAGATGCAGAATCCAGAAACCGCCTAGGAAAAGTAAGGGTCAGAGAGAATCTTATGTTGGAGGGCCTCCTCCCAGAGAACCAGCTTCTAGTATCCCATTCTCTAGCCATCAGTAATCTAAGACTAGACCAGCTGAACGAAGGATCAGAATAGGCTGGTGACAGTAATAGACACAGTAAGTGAAGGCATGCTGTGGAGAGAGCCTGACCTTGTAAAGCACGTAGTCAATGCGGATGCCACATGGAAATGGCTCCAGATCCTTCTGGCTGACGTAATGGTTCTCAGGTACCATGGTATAGCCTTCTTCAAAGCCCTAGGGAGTAGCTGGTTCATGGTAGGATATGGGGCAGGAAGAGAGAGAAACTGGGAGTATAGGTGAGAAAACAGCTAGGTAGTTTCTCACCTTAAAGTCCTGGGTCTCAAGGTAGGCATCATGCAGTCCTGTCCACTCCCTCAGCAGGCAGCAGCCCAGATCTTTTGGGTGCATGTTGAGGTCCCCACACAAAAGAACCACGTCTGCCTTCTTGGATGTGTGGCTGGTGAGCCAGGTCAGTGAGGAAGGAATTCTTCCCTCGCCCCCATTGCCCTAATCCTAGCCACACCTCAAACCCTGGGTCCCAACCCACTTCCCCTGTCAAGCCTAGGCTCACACACTGGATGAACTGGGCCAGTTCCCAAGCTTGGGCCACACGATGTGCTAGGTAGATGTCCTTCTGTCGGCTGTACTCGGCATGGAGCTGAGTGAGATAGATGAGATTATAGCAGTAAGATTAAGGGTCCCAGGAGCCTGTGTAAATCAAGCTTGTGTCTGTCACTAGTTAAGGTATCTGGAACACAATGGGTAAGTCTTGCCCTATTGCTACCTTAGGAAACCCTTACCCGATAGCTCCTCCTCAGATACATAGCAGAGAAATCCCACTTCAGTCCCAGGATTAGAATGCCTGCCCAAGCCCTAAGCACTGGTAGCTTCACTTACGTGGGTCACATAGGCATTGAGCACAAGTCCACTTAGATGGAACACCAGGAGTCCTACAGCCTTCCCACAGAACCAATCACCATGATGGATCTGCAAGCAGGAGGAGACAGGAACTCATAGCACTGCCATCTTCCATCTGCCCAGCCTCTGTAGCTCCAGGAAGTCTGCCTTCTCTACCTTGTGTTAGTGGGGGTGAGGAGGGAGGCTTACCATGTAGGGGTAGCCATTGAGGGTGTAGACATGCTGGATGATTTCCTGGATTGGGTGTTTGGAGAAGACACAGAGGCCACTGCCAATGATTCCGCTGTAAGCCAAGCCCTGCTTAATAACCAGAAAAGGTGGGAAACACCCAGCCCTCTTMTCTCTCCTTATTTCCCAGCTCTGATGAGCTCCTCTCTCTCTACTGCTGGGACCAGTCTCAGAACAAAGCTCAGGACAACAGCCTCTGCAGGAGGATGAGGGGGCTGCCCGATAATAGGCGGAGATGGGCTGAAAAGATACGATGTTCCCAGTTCACCCTCTCCTGCTCCTTTACCCAGAGAAGGAGGTAGGCAGGTGCAGGGAAAGGGAAGGGTTGGCAGGGTCAAGAACCCTGAGAACAGGTTCAGGCCTGCAGGCTTCTCACCTCCTGAAGTAGTGTGCAGCTGGATAAGTGAAAGACAGTTTCTCTTTCAGGCACTGGAAGTCCTGCTCACTCCACACCTGAGGGAAGGATGAGCATGCCTGCCTGGCCTTTCCCCCAAGGGGTGGGTGTCTCCTCCAGTACCCCTTCCCAGAGCTCCTCCCAGCCTGGGATCCACCTCAGAGATGCACAACCCCACCTCTTCCAGTAGAGCCAAGTCGAAGCTCTCCATATTCAGAAAGTCTCCCAGACGCTTCATGCGGTCAGAACGGTGCTTGCTCACATAGGGAAGACCCCTAAGGAAGGGAAGGGAAAGGCGGGCCAGGGAAGGTGACTGCCAGTACCACTGAAGTTGGGGCCTATAYGGCGCCCTGTCGGTTCGAGTTTCCCCTCCACCCGAGATCCCGGAGGCAGGATGGGGTCGTGATCCAGCTGTGAGGAAGGACTCCCTCCTCCCTCTGGCTGTGCGGGTGCGAAAGGGAAGGAGGCCCCCAGGCAGCACTCGGCCGGGGAACTCACCAGCAGTTGAGGTTGAAGACCCTCAGGCGCAGAGAGAAGTTGGGCTTCATGGCGGGGGTGTTCCGGGGCGGGAGTCAGGAGTCAGTTTGCTTCCCGGAGACGGCCCTGGCGGGGGCGAGAACAAGAGCAGTCGAGTGGTGCCTTCTCCCCGGGCGATGCGGACAGGTGGCCAGTCGGGACCCCGCACTCCCAACACCCAAGCAGCTCCGGCCTCGGGCTGATTCCCGTGTTACCAGCACAACCCGCCCGCTGGCCTAGATTAGGCTGCGCGCTAACCCGGAAAAGAGATCTGACAAACCCGGCGTGCGCGGGCTGGAGAAGGATGCGCTCGAGGCCCCTGGGGTACCCGAGAGGGCTCCCGGGCGGGCGGCTCCGTGATCCTTTGCCCAGAGGCTGGTTCCCGGCAGCCGCAGCCCACAAATCCCTCGGTTGGCCCCCTTCTCGGCTAGGGGCCTGGCTCACCAGCAACAGGCTGCAAGTGGAGAGGCCCCGCCCACGCCGCCGGCCCTTTGCTCCACCCTGCCCCGCCCACTGCAGGCGTCGGGGGCGGGGCCGCGCGGTTGCCGTGGCAACGCGTGTGTTTTTTTTTTTTTTTTTTTTTTTTTTTGTTCAGGGTTAGTCTACTAGCTCCGCCATGGACCGCTTGCAGAAGTTGCGGCCCACTCCCGCCCCATGCAGCTCTAAGTCGCCGCCCGAGCGGCCGCTGCAGGTGAAAGTGGTGGGGATCTTCAAAAGCTCCAGCTTTCAGGTTGCGAAGTCTACTGCTGAGGTAACCGCAGAAAAACCCCCAATGCGGAGACCCTCCAGGCTTCCCGGCCTCGCGGCGTGGATTATGCGCCTCGATGTCTGGTGCAGGCCGGTGGATGTTCTACTGGAGGAAGGGCGGGCTGGCTGGGACCACCCCCACCCCGGGAGCGCAGAAAGGACACATTCGGGTCAGGGGCGGGCATTTGGTTTTGGAGTAGGGCGACGTGTAAAGGGAGATCCCAGTAAAGGAAGTATTCAGAACCTTCCTGGGAAAAATAGTAATTACTACTCCTACATATTTACACATTTTATTCCACATTAATTTTAAAAATTGAATTACAGATTTATTAAAACTCATGAAAGAAAAGTTTAAAGTGTTACTCTAACTCGTGGATTTTTACAAACTCCTTCCCCAAGGGATTTTCGAAAACTATTCACTTGGTAAGATTTTTTTTTTTTAATTGCTATAACAATCACTACATTCCGGCAGAATTAAATGCCTAACGGATTTCTTAACAAATGGCCCCAAGTGTTTGAACAATCCCAAAATTTCTTTGTAAATATGAAAAATGGCACAAAAAGAAACCACTGAAAGAAACTGTAGAATTTGGCCATGTCACTCATATTGCCAGTGTATGAAATGTTGAAATGTAATATTCCACTGGTCTCTGGGGTTTGTTCCAAAAGTACTCTCCAAGCCAAGTTTCTCTTCAAAGCCTCACTAGACCCCACAAACATGTCTTATTGGTATTTTTATCTACCAAAGTATCCTGCTGGATATTGGATAACAAAATGTTATTCCATACAGAATTCATCTTAAGCAGGCCTTCTTGCCTGTTCCAGAATCTACAGAGTAAAATCAAAAAAATAACTTGCAAAATAAGAAAAGTTTAAGTGAAGAAAACAGGTGTTGGGACATCTATGAATATGATACAGATTGATCAAAAGAAGTGGAAATTATGGGCTAATGGGGCCAGTAACATTTTATGTCCAAAATTTTATTTAATGAGAACATTCTTGTTTTTCTTAGCTTCTTTTCTGAAGGCCCATGTTTTCTATGCCTGGTAGTAAATATAAGTGGGCCATAGGGTCTCAGTCACAAGTATTCAACTTTGTCCTGATATTATAAAAGTAGCCACAGATATATAAATGAATGGTGGTGTTCCAATAAAGCTTTATTATGAACACTAAATTTTCACATGACATGAAATATGACTTATCTTTTGATTTTTTCAATCATTTTCAAATCTAAAAATTAATCTTGGCTTTCAAGCCTTACAAAATAGGCAGTGGACCAACCCCTGCTAAGTCAAGAAAACAATATCTTTGATATGTTAATAATGTAATTTCCCCTTTCTTAAGCTTTTGCCTACTGTAACACTATCAAATATGAAAACATATCAGTGTAAATTCAGTTAGTACTGTCTTAATACAGGTTATGTGATTATATTCCTGGCATGATCATTTATGAGCAATCTCAGATCCCTGATTTGCTGTAAAAGATTAAGATTCATAAGGGGTAAGGATAAGTACATATATTTTAATTTGGACGTAGTTGATTCCAGACCAAATACTAAATCATAAAGAAAAGTATGATGTGCTTAATTTGAATACTACTGGGTTTGCTGGTTACTCCAGTTAGTTCCTCAGTTAGAAACAGCAGTCATCCTGTAGGAGTTCATCAAATAGAGCACAGAAAGTGGAACTGAGCTACCAGACATTGTTGTTTTTGTTGGATACAGTAGTCTAAGAAGGAAATGGCCCTACCACTGTTTTCTTCTTCTGCTCTCGTGAGTCCCAAAGTAGGACGCACTTATGTCCTGGATTTCTTGCCCTTGGAATACTCACCCCTGATGAAGTGTGCCAAACTAGTGCCCTTTCAGTCCACAACAGGGTCTCTAAGCACCAGCCTCACTTGACAAGGTGCCTACTCCAGCAGCTGTTACATTTTCCCAGTTGGCCCAACCACTTCTCAGACCTGCTGGGAAAGTGGGACCTAATTGTTGTTGCTTCCACTGCTTTCTCTTGCTTTAGGGAGATACATTAAAATAATATCAAGAACAAAACTTTTTAAAATTATTCATTTGTTTATTTTAACTAGGTATATATGACAGCAGAATGCATTTTGACTCATTGTACACAGCTGCAGCACAACTTTTCATTTCTTTGGTTGTACAGGATGTAGCGTTGCACCATATGTGCAGTCATACACGTACCTAGGGTAATGATGTCCATCTCATTCCACCATCTTTCCTGCCTCCATACCCCTGCCTCACCCCCACTTTGACCAATCATATTTCCTCCATTTTTCCTATGCTCCCTAGCCCCCCTGCTCATTATAGATCAGCATCCACTTATCAGAGAGAACATTTGGCCTTTGGTTTTATGCATTAGCTTCTTTCACTTACCGTGATATTCTCCAACTCCACCCATTTACCTGCAAATGCCATAATTTTATTTTCTTTTAATGCTGAATAATATTCCATTGTGTATATATACCACAGTTTCTTTATCCATTCATCTACTGAAGGGCATCTAGGTTGGTTTCACAGTTTAGCTATTGTGAATTCAGCTGCTATAAATATTGATGTGGCTGCATTACTATAGTATGCTGATTGTAAGACCTTTGGGAATAGACTGAGGAGTGGAATAGCTGGGTAAAAAGGTGGTTCCATCCCAAGTTTTCCAAGTAATCTCCATACTGCTTTCCAGATTGGTTGTACAAATTTGCAGTCCCACCAGCAATGCATGAGTGTGCCTTCCCCCCCACATCCTCGACAACACTTATTGTTGTGGACTGAAAGGGCACTAATTTGGCACACTTCATCAGGGGTGAGTATTCCAAGGGCAAGAAATCCAGGACATAGCTGCCATTCGGATTGGAGATGAAATCTCAGCTTAGATTTGCATTTCTCTAATTACTAGAGATGTTGAACATTTTTTCATATATTTGTTGATCGAATGTATATCATCATCTGAGAAGTGTCTGTTCAGTTCCTTAGCCCATTTATTGATTGGGTTCTTTGCTTTTTTGGTGTTATGTTTTTTGAGTTCTTTATATATCCTGGAGATTAGTGCTCTATTGGACGTGCATGTGGCAAAAATTTGCTCTCAAAATGTAGGCTCTCTCTTCACCTCATTGATTTTTTCTTTTGCTGAGAAGCTTTTTAGTTTGAGTCCATTCCATTTATATATCTTGATTTTATTTCTTTCGCTTTAGGAGTCTTGTTAAGGAAAGTCGGGGCCTACTCAGCACTAAAAAATAACAAGATCATGGCATTTGCAGGGAAATGGATGGCATTAGAGCAGATTATGCTAAGTGAAGTTAGCCAATCCCTAAAAAACAAATGTCTTCTCTGATATAAGGGAGGTGACTCAAAATGGGATAGGGAGGAAGAGCATGAGAAGAAGATTACCACTAAATAGGGAAGAGAAGTGGGAGGGAAAAGGAGGGAGAAGGGGAGTTGCACGGAAGATGGAAGGAGACCCTCATCGTTATACAGAATACATGTATGATGTTGTGAAGAGAAAAAAAAAAGTGTGTCACATTAGATTGGATAGAGAGAAATGATGGTAGGGGAGGGGAGGATTAGGGGGGATAGGAAGGGCAGCAGAATAAAATAGACATTATTATTGCTGTATGTATATACGTGACTGCATGACCAATGTGATTCTGCAACCTGTACAAAGAAAAGTGAGAAATTATACCCCATTTGATTCAAATGTATGAATTGTCAAGATCATTGTACTGTCATGTGTAGCTAATAAAAATAAATAAATAAATAAATAAATAAATAAATAAATAAGGAATCAGGGCCTAATCCGACGTGATAAACATTTGGGCCTACTTTTTCCTCTATTAGATGGAGGGTCTCTGGTCTAATTAAAAGGTTTTTTTAAAAAATTTTTTTGTAGTTGTAGATGGACAGAATGCCTTTATTTTATTTGTTTATTTTTATGTGGTACTGAGGATCGAAACCAGTGCCTCAAGCATGCTAGGCAAGCACTCTGCCACTGAGCTACAGAATTGCTAACCTGTAAGAGTTTTCTTTTTTTTAATTTATATATGACAGCGGAATGCATTACAATTTTTATTACACATATAGAGCACAATTTTCATATCTCTGGTTATATACAAAGTATATTCACACCAATTCATGTCTTCATACATGTACTTTAGATAATAATGATCATCACATTCCACCATCATTAATTACCCCATGCCCCCTCCCTTCCCCTCTAACCCCTCTGCCCTATCTAGAGTTCATCTATTCCTCCCATGCTCCCGCTCCCTATCCCACTATGAATCAGCCTTCTTATATCAAAGAAAAACATTTGGCATTTGGTTATTTGTGATTGGCTAACTTCACTTAGCATTAGCTTCTCCAGCTCCATTCATTTACCTGCAAATGCCATGATTTTATTCTTTTATTGCTGAGTAATATTCCATTGTATATATGCCACATTTTTTTAATCCATTCATCTATTGAAGGGCATCTAGGTTGGTTCCACAGTTTAGCTATTGTGAATTGTGCTGGTATAAACATTGATGTGGCTGTGTCCCTGTAGTATGCTGTTTTAAAGTCCTTTGGGTATAGTCAGAGGAAAAGGAATAGCTGGGTCAAATGGT